ATGTTGGATGAAACTAAAGATGAAAGCATGGGTCCTGTGTGCACATCCCGTGAGTTTGCTTCCGAGGGGTCAAAAAGTGGCTTTATTGTGTAGAATTAACAAAATGAAACAAAAACAGCGTTGGATCATGCGAGAGGTGAATCTTCTTCATCAGCAGTCTTCTTCCCAGGACCAAGACAACTTGAAGTTGGTTTGGCACTCAGTGTGAGGATACTTCTGTGCATCCAGAAACCCAGTCCAAGCCAATGCCGTGTAACACCGGCCGCTTTAGTCCAAGACAGCAACTCTGACTAACCACCTTGGCGCACTTTTTCTTCCAAGTCACCTGTCAACAGCTCTAAGGCCTGCCGCCCTGGCAGAAATCAAATCACATGTACTGCCGCCCTGCTCTGACCATAGTTCAGCCTTACCGTGGTAGGTCTGGCTGCCCATCAGCCTTCCGGCGCCAGTTGGGCTTTTCCAAGGATCAGTGATCGGAACCTGCGTACGGTGAGCCCCATGGTGGCTCAAGACAGATGCTAAGTGAAAAGATCATAATGGACAGCCACTTCATCCCTCGAATAGCCACCCCTGACATGGACCCCCGTAGCAGATCGAATTAGTCTCCCTCTGTCGCACGGATCAGAACTCAAGACTGAAACACCTACGAGGGATGGGGCTGTATCGACAGATTGGCACTGACCACGCCTTCTCGATTCCCCAGTTGCCATGTTTCGATCTGTGTCGAAGTCATGGGAGGAGAGATACACTGAGTGCCTCAAACAAACCCGACGTCGATGACTTCTGGCATAGACCGGTAGACCTCCCTCCGTCCACGGGATCTCGCCGACCCAACCCAGACTGGTCGAGTCGGCCACACCTCCGAGCCACTTCCAAGGTGTACGAGTGGGTCGATGGGGGTCCGCTCTTATGCAATTTGGAGTCGTGAGGGTCCCTGATGGACTCTCCGCTCGGTGGACTCGGATAGATCGGACTTTTGACGGGTGGATGTGTGTGGGGCCCGTGGGGGTGGATGTGGGGCCGTGTGCGTCGCAAGGAGAAATCGGATGCAATCGGTTACAAGACGTTCAATGATAAATAGGACTTGGATGTTTGGAGGGAACTATAGGCCACCCAAGAGCAACAGTGTGTCATTTTAAATACATATTTGTGGAGGAGGACTGCTTGGTGATTTCAAGCCTTGTTCATTTTCAATCCTTAGATTGGATGATTGTACAATCCACTGATTGCTTTGTCGGTTGAAGCTCATCCAGAGAATGGCTCAGTGGCACGACCGAATCACGCGTTCGATGATGCTTCGAGTAGGGAGTCTGAGGAATAGGTGAACTTGGCAAACAACTCGCATTCCATCAGAGCCGACCAATTTCCTCAGAAATGGAGGAATTTCCATCTACTTTTTATGGGCTGGTGCTTGAGAAACGGTGCTTGAGAAACGAGCTGGCGAAACGGGCGAGGGCCCAGGGCCCAGGGTCGGCGAATGGCGAGCGTCCCTAGGGACGATGGTCTCGGCTCGAGCTCGAATCGAATGAGATCGTCGCATCCGTTAGAATGTTCTTATGATCCCGAGAAGCAGGGTCGTTGGCGGGGAGAAACTGCTGCTTGTATGCCACAGGAGTAAGAATACACTGCTCCTCAACGTGTGTGTGATATTGTGTGATAAGGTTTTGGAAAACCGTTTGTTCTTGTTTTAGTTGTCTTCTGTCGTCCTGATCCTTCAAAGTGACTATCCGATATCCTCAAAGTCTCAGTCGAAGGTTGATGAACCTTCGGTTTTGTTGCAATGGACAAAGTGGACATATGCAGACGTGCACTTGCTGTCCATCCAAAGAACTTACAAAGACCGAAGCAAGAAAAAAGCAACCTCCCAGAAACATGATCACATAAGATCAAATTCTCTTGTGACCGGTCTACATTAGACGCTCTCCGAGGTTCGCGGAGGGTCTGACCGAGAGCCACCTGGCGGAGGCGGAGGGTCATCATCCCCGTCGCTCGCGTTCCCGTGGGTTCAAGAGGTGCCATCCAGGAGGACGAGCGACTCATCCGGAGCTTTCCACCGCATTTACTTTGTTTTTCGGGAGGAGCTAATCCAGGCAGTTCTCCCAAAGTTTCCAAAGGCTGTGAATGGGCACATTCTATTGCACAGGGCCAATTTCAGGTTCATGTCAATCTTGAGAGAAGTATAGCATCTACAGTAAGTAAGTGACCACTATTTGACCACTTCATACTTCTATGTCCAAATCATCGTAGGTCCATGTCTATCCTATCCCACAGATATTCCATCCGTTTCCAGCTCTCTCGAGCCTTGGCGATTTTGGAACAAAGAGAAGGAACACCAGGAAAACCGTGGAACCATATGGAAGCAGGATCTGGAAACAAACTTGAAGAACCATGGAGATAAGGCACATATGCTTGAAGAACCATATGGGGATAAGCGAAATTGAATTTTGCACATCTGCTTGGCGCCATCTTTGCTTCGGTCCAGCCTGACCACGTCACCGGCGTCTTCGCCCCAGTAACGGCCCGCTGTCTCGGCACCGTGCTGTCTCAGTTCGTCCGCGAAGTGCTCGCTGCCTTGGCGCACGCGAACTCCTTGGGGGTGCAGCACCTGGTCGGGAAGCCGAGAAGGGGCAAAGAAAGATCGCTTTTGGCCCGGAGTGTTGGAGTATGGGTGTTTTGGTCAGGAAGCACCTTCCAACCGCCCGAAGGTTTCAGTTTGAGACTGGCTGACGGGTTTCTCTACTTTGCAATGGTATACATGGCTTTGAGAGGTGAGTTGACCGCCTTCTATAGGAGTGGCCCTGTTCGAACTCGGTGTGTTTTTCTTCCAAGTGGAAACCCCAAAAAGGACGGGCAAACATGTTTTTGGGGAAACCTTGTTGACTCGTCAACTCATCTCTGAAGTTTATCTGAATGGACCTTGTTGACTTGTTCCCCTGATAGCGAAGCTATGGGGTTCTTACTTCAAATAACAATGAGTTGCCCGTGCGCGCTTTCGAGACAGGTTGCCGGTGCTCGGTATCGGTGCTGGCGCTGGTGCTATCAGCTGGCTGTGCACGTGGTGGAGACAGGTTGCTGGTGCCGGTGCTGGGTGCCGGGTGCCGGTGCTAGGGCTGGTGCTGTGAGCTGGCTGTGCACGTGGTGGAGACAGGTTGCTGGCGCTGGTGCGGTGCCGGTGCTGGTGCTGGGTGCCGGGTAGTGCCGGCGCTGGCGCTGCGCGTGGTGGAGACAGGTTGCTGGTGCCGGTGGTGGTGCTGGGTGCTGGGTGCCGGTGCCGGTGCTGGTGCTGTGAGCTGTGCACGTGGTGGAGACAGGTTGCTGGTGCTGGTGCTGGGTGCCGGTGCTGGTGCTGGTGTTGTAGCTTGCATGTGAGGGGGTCTATTTTCGGATCTGTGGAGACAGAGTGCCTGGGCGCGGGGTTCCGGTGCCGGTGCTGTGAGCTGGCAGTGCGCGTGGTGGAGACTGGGTGACGGTGCTGCGCGTGGTGGAGACAGGGCGCCGGGTGCTGGGCGCCGGGCATGCTGGGTATAGCGGTGCTGGTGCTGGGCGCCGTGAGCTGGCGTGCGGGTGCTCGGTGCTGGCGCCCGCTTCTGACAGTGAAGTGATAACAACTTCCGCTGCTTGCAGCAGTGAAGGGCGACCAAGCGCCGCTTCTGACAATGAAGTGCCAGCAGTCATGGGCCGCATGAACTTATGCACGCAACATCATACGGTGTTGTCGCTTGAGCGTTCTTTGTCTATTAGCGCCGTGGGGCATTTACACTCTTCAGGTTCTGTTTTGGCCGACAGCTGTGTCCAGGGCTGTACTGTTTGCGCGCATACTTTTGTACGTATAATGTTCTATGCGCAACTGCGCAACGTCAGGCTCTCAACCGACCATTGTTTCAGCGTGTTTCAGCGTGCTACACACACAATAGTCGTGCTGGATACTGCTGGGCCTTGGGCGAGTGAAGCCTACGGGCTTTGCCGTTTGCGCGCATACTTTTGTGCGCATAATCTTATACGCGCAAGATCATACGGCCTTATGGTTCTGCAGATCGTTGCTTCAAGCATGCTACAAAGTCAATAACGGCGCTGGATACTGCTTGGCCTTGGGCCAATGACACTTACGGGCTTTGCTGCTTGCGCGCGTACTTTTGCGTGCATAAACGTATACGCGCAAGATCATACGTTGTTATTCCCCAAATAGGGATAGCTATGGGGTCCTTGCTGCAAATAAGAATGAGCTGGCTGCGCGCGCTTTCGAAAGGGTGTCGGTGCTGGTGCTGGTGTTGTGGTCCTGGGTGCTGGTGCCGTGAGCTGGCTGAGCGCGCGTTTAAGACGGGCGGCGGCGCTGGTTGGGCGCTGGCGCCGCTGCCGGTGTTGTCAGCTGGCACAGCGCACTGGCGCTGGTGTCAGCTGATTGTGCGCGCTGTGGAGGTGCCGTAAGCTAGCTGTGAAGGCTGCGTGCATTCTTGTTCCAGCCGCTCCCATGTCAACAGGTCGTGGGATTCTGCCTAGCTATCTGGGTCTATGCTGGTGTAATTTTTTGTTTCTGTTATATTTTGGAATGGGCAATGGGAGTGAAAAAACCGATGATTCAGGCGATTTCATCTGGCCTGGAGAAACTCGAAAAGAGCGACGTGACGTCTTGTGATGGACAGATCGGTTGCACAGTGCACTACAGTATCGTCAGGAGAAAAATTATCCAGCGCACAATGTGGCTGGTGGAAACAAATGCAATTGAAACAATGTTGACAATGTTCAATTGACAAGATGCAGCATCTCTCATCCTCTGATATTTTTTCGCACTCTGCCGGGTCTACGAGAGCACTCTTTCGAGCGAGTGAGTGCAAGCCCTTTTGCCCTTTTGTTGGGTTTTTCAGCTTCGTCTACCCCTGTTTGGCCTGGGGTGGAGCTGAGCTCTCGCTGACCCCAAGGATCTTTGCATGTCCACGATCTTCGTGGTCACCGCTGGAAGTTTTTGTCCAGTAAAGGCGCCCATTTACGCAACGCCGATGGCACACGGACGTTGCAGGTGATTTGCTGTCACCCCATTAGGTTTGGTTGTTGGGAAGTTAGGGATATATGATATATGTTTGGTCTTATTGGGTTCGAGGTTTTGTTTGCTCTCGGGCTGTATACCCTCTGAACAAGTCGGTTGAGAATGTGTCTGAATGTGTGCATTATCTACAGTATATTATAGTTATAAAGCATGTGGTTCCCATTTTGTGTGCCTCTTTGGCGAATTCAGGAAGAAATCCTGTGGAGGTAGTCTCATTTCTTTGCCACGCCGCGGAGTTTGGCTGAAGTTTCTCCGAGCGACGGTCATGTCATGGCCTTTGCTATCCTTGGTTCAACTTTACAAGCTTGAAATTTGCACACGCTGGCCGGCCTATTTTGCTCCAACAACATCAACAAAAGCCATGCACATGAACCCCCGCACGCTTCTTTGAAAGCCGTCTCACGTTTTGGCCTTGAGAACTTGCTTGCCATTTAGAGGTTTAGCCAGCATAGGAGGCTGAACAGTGGATGTTGCTGGGCGATCTCGTTGAGCAGATGCTTGACCATGTTTTGTTTTTTTGTTTCTTTTCTCCGTGCTGCGAGGGACAAATAACGTGATAGGTCGTGATACCAAACATGGACCATGGACAGAAAAGAGTTTCCAACGTTGGAGGAGTCATCGGGTCCCAAGACCAGATCCGATCCGGGAACCGTTGTTCCATGGGACGATGTGTCGGTCTCGACCTTTCGGGTAGGGCCGACCACTGGGTAAGGCTGAAGAAGCTTGACCACTGGGGGGCAGCCTTGATTTCAGGGCTAGGTTCGCAGTGGCAAAAAGAACTCAGGCCAGCGGCAGAAGAAAGGTGCGCAGAAGCATCACAGAAAGAAGATGGAGAAACAGTGCAGCCTTCAGCGCTGGAAGTGGCATCAGCAGAGTCAGGCAGCACGTCAAACCGCAAGACATTGAGTATCCAAGGCATTGATGGCTCGTCGTTTCATGTTTCAGTTGAGGATGCTATGACGGTGGCATTGATTTGTTGAAGAGTATTTATTTTTGGTATGCTTTGTCGGGCGTGGTTAATATTCAAGTATAGGAAGATGTGCCGGTGTGCGCTTTGGGGGCTGGTGCCGCTGCAGAGTGCCGCTGCCAAATGTCTAGTGCCGCTACAGGGTGCCGGTGCAGAGTAATGTTCCCCGGTTGCCTGCCAGATGTCTATGGATGTGCTGCTGCTGCTGCTGCTCCTGCTGCGGGGTGTGGCTGCAGGACCAGATCATGCCTATGTCGTATGAAAAACAAAGCGCTTGGGTGCTGCCCACAAGTATCTTTTGCTATCTATGCTCCATGCCGACGCAAATGCGGCAAGACAATAACTTGTTTCTTTCTTTATGCGTGCCCGAGGTGCATGATCTATGCAAAGCTATTGTGGCCAAGATTGGCGAGAAGACCCACCGAAGGTTGATGCTGACTTCTGCTGGTCATGTTCTGGACAGTTCCAAGCCAGTCCTGCAGCAACTTTCTGATGTTGAGGTGATGTACGTGTCCATTCCCGTGTCTGCTGGTGATGCTGCAGTAGCTTTGCAGCGGGCCTTGGCAGAAGAGACTAGGGTGCACTTGTCCTCTGATGATGCTTTTGCAATGGATATGATCACGTATGTGTCATTCAGCAACAAATTTAACCAGAGCTTGGAGGGTGTCACTTTGCCAAGTAGCTTGCAGACTTTGACCTTCGGCTCTGATTTCGACCAGAGCTTGCAAGGTGTCACTATTCAAAGCAGCTTGCAGACTTTGACCTTTGGAACCAATTTTAACAAGAGCATGGAAGGTGTGACACTGCCAAGTAGCTTGCAGACTTTGACCTTTGGTAGTCGCTTTCAACAGAGCTTGAATGGTGTCACTCTGCCAAGTAACCTGAAGACCTTGACTTTTGGCCCCTCCTTCTACCAGAGCTTGCGAGGTGTTGCGTTGCCGAGCTGCCTGCAAGCTTTGAACTGCTGCCAGAACTTTGACGCTTTGCCAAACAGTCTACATACTTTAACATTCAGCAACTACTTCAACATGAGCTTGGAAGATCTCACTTTGCCAAGCAATTTGCAGACATTGGCCTTTGGCCGCGGCTTCAACAAGAGCTTGGATGGTGTAACATTGCCAAGCCGCCTGCGGACTTTGACGTTTGGTGACAACTTCAATCAGAGCTTGGAAGGTGCCACTCTTCCAGATAGCCTGGAGTCTTTGACCTTTGGCGAGAAGTTCAACCAGAGCTTAGAAGGTGTTACCTTGCCAAACAGCCTGCGGACTTTGACCTTCGATGAGTTGTCGCACTTTAACCAGAGCTTGGATGGTGTCACCTTGCCAAGCAGCCTGCAGACTTTGACCTTTGGTGGCAATTTCGACCAGAGGTTAGATGGTGCCACTCTGCCAACTAGCCTGGAGTCTTTAACTTTTGGCAACCAGTTCAACAAGAGCTTGAAAGGTGTTTGTTTGCCAAAGAGCTTGCAGACCATAACCTTCGGCAGCACATTCAACCTTAGTTTAGAAGGTGTCACATTGCCAAGCACCTTGCACACTATAACCTTTGGCTTCCAATTTAACCAGAACTTGGCTGGTGTCAGTTTGCCAAGCAGCGTGCGAACTTTGACCTTTGGCAGCCGTTTTAACCAAAGCTTGGAAGGTGATACTCTACCAAGCGGTCTGCAGACTTTATGCTTGAGCTACAGTTTCAACCAGAGCTTGCAAGGTGTCACTCTTCCCACCGGCCTTCACACGTTGACTTTTGGAAACAATTTTAACAAGAGCTTGGAAGGCGTCACTTTGCCAACCAGCTTGCAGACTTTGACATTTGATGGTAATTTTGACCAGAGTTTGGAACATGTCACATTGTCAAGTAGCCTGCAGGCTTTGACCCTTGGCAACCGCTTCAACAAGAGCTTGGAAGGTGTCATTTTGCCAAGCAGTTTGAAGACCTTAACCTTAAGCTACGGTTTCAACAAGAGCTTGCAAGGTGTGATTCTGCCAAGCAGCTTGCAGACTTTAACTTTTGGCAAGTATTTCAACAAGAGCCTGGCTGGTGTTGCTTTGCCAAGCAGCCTGCAGACTTTGACCTTTGGCGACTTTTTCAACCAGAGCTTGGAAGGTGCCATTCTGCCGAGCAGCTTGCAGACTTTGATCTTTGGCAGCAATTTTGACCAGAGCTTGGAAGGTGTCACTCTACCACACAGCTTACACAGTTTGACCTTTGGCAGCAAGTTTGACCAGAGCTTGAATGGTTTTACTTTGCCAAGCAACTTGCAAAATTTGACCTTTGGCGAGAATTTCAACCAGAGCTTGGAAGGTGTCACTCTGCCAACTAGCCTGCAGACCTTGACATTGGGGGCGGGATTCAAGCAAAGTTTGGAAGGCATCCTGTGGCCAAGCGGCCTGCGCAACCTGGTTTGCAAAACATTCAATATCACTTGCAGCGCCTAGTTAACAAGCACTCAAGCCATGACCCTGCTGAAACGAGCAGGTGTTTGTCCGCACAGTGAGTGGTGAAATGAGGAACGCTTGTGCGAGGGAGTTTTCAGCTCATGCCGGAGTTGGTTGAACAGTTGGTTGAAAATCCCCAGAAGCTGCTTACGGAATTTGCAGAGCAATGCTTGGATGAGTTGGCTGTATCAACTGGCAGGGGCGAAGAGTTTCGTAAGAATATCCTTGCCAAAACCACTCGGATTGAAATGGATGACATATTTGTACCATTTGGTAACATCATCTATCAATCATCCTTCCTCGGTCTAAAGGTTAAACAAACACATCCTTGCGCCTTGCGTCTTCTTGTTGCACAACTTCTCAGGCCTTCTCATCGTCAAGTGACCCCCTGGAAGTTGATGTGTTCGTACTGTTCAATAAGAGAAGCCCCTTGTTCCACGATACTGGTTATTGACATAGACTTGGAGATGCTGCACCTTCTCCAACACCATTTTGTTCTAAACGTAGTTCATATCGGTGATATATTAATATATATATATATATTTTTTTTGTAAATACCCATGTCAGAAGGGTTTGATGATTTACCTTCAATGATGGTCAGCACTGCGGGAGGTCTTTGGTTTGGGTTTAGCTGGGGTGCTCAGCGAAAAGGATCACCCACTGGGTGAGGTTCTCGTGCGGCGACATGTCTCGACGATGGTCTCGACGACGAATTGGAGGATCAAGACTCAAGACTTTGACCACCGGTGAGCGACGCGATCAACCCCTGTTTAGGGGCGAGATGGGGTGGGCTTTTGACATGCCCTCAGGCCCTGGTCTTTTGCATTCATTCCTTGAGACCTCTTGTTGGTTGCACGATCCGATGTTTGGCGAATGCAAGTGACTGGCAGTCATACCATAGCCCGTTCTGGTCGTGGGTTCAACTGTTTGGAGTTGAATTTATGTACACGGGATTGTCGTCAATATATATATATATATATACATATATGTGAGTCTTACACACTTGAATAGTAGAAGGCTTTTTGTTGAGGGACCAGAAATACCAATTGGAGTCTTTGGTCCGCTAACATGCAAATTGGTTCCCAAGATCAGGCAAGCTTCATAAACATTTGCCAATTACACAATACGGTCCTGGTCAATGTATGGATCCAGTGTGTATTATAGTCGGTCGAAATCATCTCCAAGGTGTATTGACATGTGTATAGCATAGGTATAAGATGGTATAAGGCAACATGAAAGGTCTATATATAGAGTCACTGGGTTTTTAGATGTTTTTGGCCCACGTCCTCGGCCTCCCTTGGCCTCCCCCGGCCTTTTTGTCGGCGGTGACTGGATCCATAACTCGTTCTCCGGGCGTGAGCTGGAGGACTCTCGCCCTCTTTGGGGGAAGGGAAGCCCAACGAACGATGTCACGCATCCGAGCCATTCCGACCCCCGAGGCCGGCTACCTGACGGCGCTCGTCTCATGCCGGGAGTTCTCCAAGTCCAACAAGCGCGGAGGGTCTGACGGGAGCCGGCTCCCAGCCGGTGGATCGCCCCGGCTGGGGAGGTCGGAGTAGCAACGGAGCGAAACGGCTCGAAATGCCTGGAATTCCTTCCATAGAAGGCGTATATAGTGATATAAACTTCTCTTCAACAGTGTACCTAGATGTGGTGTGTTTCTGTGTGTTTTGACAGCTACATGAGTGCTTTGAGGGTGTGTTCAATGCGTGGGCCACCCGTCCCACGGGTGGATCGCAGCGATTCTTTTTTCGTCCACCGGCGATCGTCATGATGGGGGATTCACACATGGTTCACACGAGATTTTGCAGGAACTTCCTCTTCAATCCACAGGCCCACATGACAATTGCCACGTTCAATCCACAGCTCGTTCTGCTGTCCAGCACTCACCCCTACTTGGATCATCTTGGACCACTTTACGTTGGGCTTCATCCATTTGGACGAAGCCCTTCGGGGGATTTGGGAACTGAGCCTCCTTCCACGGAGATGGTGCAGTGAGTTCACCCGTCTTCTCACATCGACGTGCTGGGAAGGCACTACTATGCCTCCCCGGAGATCTTCTACACCCACAACATCAAGCGCCTGAGTCCGGCGGCCGCGAGCTGAGTGGGTTCAGAAGACACGTCCGTTTGGACGGATGGAGACGTCGTGAGCCCTGGTGGGTCACGTCTAGTGGAAGATCGTGTAAACCGTTTGCGGGTAGTAAACATAGCAAACACCCATTGATTGGCGCGGGGGTCCTCAAGTTGAATGAAGTTCCACCTATTTCTGGATTGACAGCCAGCATATATAGATTTTTGGGTTATCGCCATAGATGTTGGTTGACTGATTTTCGCGTCTTCTGTCCATTGAACTTATACGAGTCTCCTATGTTCTGTTGAAGTCAACAGAGATGGTGCACACCGTGCGCACCGCTTAACTTGGCGGGTATCATGGGGGGGTCCAGGTTGGGACATCACGTTAGTCGTTTGTCATATCTCGAGCATTCACCAAAGCGCCAAAGCGCTGTATGGGACCTGCAGCAGTTCAGGAGAGGAGGAGGCTCCTGACAGGACAAAGGTTATAGTTATAGTCGGGTTGATTTGGAACCCAGCTCTTTTTGACCTATTGTGATTGTTTGCGTAGAAAGGCCTTTTGCTGTCCCAATGTCCCTCTCCAAAAGTCCGTCAAAAGGCGGAGGGTCGGTTGAAGCTGGAAATCACCCGGTGAATCGATCGCGCCGTGAGGATGGGATCGCTCACTCAACGGCTGGGGCTGGGGTGGTTGCGGCTGGGATGCCCCAAAAGCCTCGCAGTCTGCGGAGCATGACGACCATCGTGGGATCGTGGAGTGCGTGAGAGTCATGTCGATGAATACCGGAGAGTCATGTCGATGGAAGCGGTTGGTTCCTTTTGTGGAGCCCAAGGGCCATGGCTTTCCCCGTCAAAGGCCCATCACGAAACACCAATATCTTGGAGCCATGATACCTGGCCATGAGCCGTATTCAGGATACGCAAGTTGATTAGATAGACATGATGAATTATTGAGCTCCATTTTAGGAGGTAGATTGGGCACTTAGAGTTACGCCACCAAGGCTCGTCACGCGAGTGATATATGGGCAGCACGGGCCCTTGGATTTTTTGGAGTGAAGGGGTGTCATGGGGTGACCAGATGAAGCAGCTAAGCAGTGACATGAATTGGTGGAACATGTCCCCGTATACGGAAAACTTCTATTCTTGCCATGTGATTCTATCCCGATTCTGAAGGGAGATTGAAACCATACGGCAACACAGAAACCGTCCTGAGGGCCGGAGTTGAAAGCCAGACCCTGGCGAGCTGGCGAGGTTGGATTGCTTGGGACCATCGAAATCACCCGCCAGCGAGGTTGGACGAAGCATCACGCTTTCGAAGAGACATCTCCGATGACGGCCATCCCTCCTCGTTCGTTGACATTCCTCGTTCGTTGGTCTCCCCATGACGGTCTTTGTTGGACTTGTGTCCGCCTTGGGGAGGCGCGCGAGCGACCCTGGACTGAGGACCGCACTCAACGAGTCGAAAGAAGTCACGACATGACTGGAAGAACCCTTTTTTGTTCCTTCCTGGTCACCAAGGATGGCCATCTAAAGCCATCCCAACAGTCACACTTGCGGTCTCAAGCACGTCCTCAGCGGTCCAGGCCTAAAGCCATCCCAACAAAACGCTCGAAGAAGCCTCAGGTTGGTGCTCTCCTCTACACCATTTGCAGTGGACGCCCACCCTTTGGCGCGGGCAGTGTGCAGGTGCGGGGACCGTGAGGTGCCCCCCCCCGGGCCCTCCTCCAAGGAAGGTAGGTTTTGGGATCAAATTTCGATGGATGTTCAGCAGCGGGTAAGAGACTAACAAAAGAATCCAGAAAGCAACGGTTTGTGGGGGGTAGTTCAACAGGAGCAGAACGAATCATGTGCGGTGTCAAGTCCACAAACCGGTTTTTGGTGGCCTAGGTTTTGACCCTTCCAAGATGACAAATCGGACACATTCCAGGTGTTCCCACTGAAATTGATTGAGCACGCATGATTTCATCACCGTTGAGGATGGTTCTGGGTTGAAGAGCCGGACATGATTCACATGATGTTCAGTGCACCTGCAGTGGAGACAGTGGCTGGGCCTATTTGGGCCTGCCTTGATTTCGGGCCTCCAAACTTCCTTCACCCTAGCATTTGAGCCGTTTCCCAGGACTGTCCTTTCCGAAAGGCACGGCACAACATGACAGACACGCTACGGTACAACGATCATTGATCCTTTTTCACCCTGTGTGTTTTGAGTCTTGATCTTCAGAGTCTCCAACAGCACATGAACTTTTCCTCAACCTTTTCCTGAACCAAAAGGCCCCCTTCACCCATCGATCTCACCCATCCGCCCTGTCCGACCTAACCCCCGACCCGTGCTCGAGCTGCCGCTGAGCCGCGCAGGAGCTGAGCCGTCGCGTGCAGCGCGCCATGTGGTCCTTCGGCGTGGACTTCGCGGAGTCCTCCTACGTCCTCAAGGCGCGGAACCGCGGTCCGACGCGGAAGGCGGGTCGTGCCGCGGTGTTGCGGAGTTGGAGCGATCCGAAACGGCGTTTCGCTTTACAGGTCACTTTTGCTAGAGTAGGTTACTATATACATCTATATACTATATAGCTAGATCGAAGGCATCTCGGACCTAAGAATTGGAATCTCCAGAGGGGCGTGCTCCAAATGTTCTTGTGCTCCATCCAAGTCTGCCTAGACTCGACCGGGCATGACAAGATTTACCTACCCTATGGATCCACATACCTTCTGAGAAGGTATTTGGGCTCTCCAAGCCCACATAATAAATAGTCTCCAATCACCTTCTCAGGTTTGGTATGTGGATCCATAGGGCTAGCTTTAAAGAAATCTCTAATCTTCAGAGAAGACGGGCAGACCGCCGACCGGAGCGGACGGACGTGATACCTCGACCCCTAGAAAACCCCTCGTCCCCTTGCGAGCCTTGGGGATGTTGTCCAGCCTGATGTCATGGTCCGTTTGAAGGGATTGAAGCAAAGAAATAGAACATGGATGTTTGCAATTTGTCCAATGGTTTGTTTGAGTTCCA